CGGCCGTGTCTTGAGTGTGTGTGTTGTCTGCGTCTCCCAACTCTGTTACTCTTATCTCAGTGTCTCTCCGACTGTTGTCCCTGTGTCTGTGTGCGTGTCTCTGGGGAGCGGTTAGCGCGCCGCGCTATGAACCAGAGGTCGCAAACGGGTTTTGATTCCTTACCCGTACCCGTACCCGGCTGCACCAGGGTCGCAAACGGGTACCCGTACCCGATACCCGGCCGGGTACGGGTATCAGGTAGGGTACGTGTATCGGGTACCTGATTGCGACCTCTGGGATGAAGCCATGTTGCAGGCGCGGGTGGGTTGATTCTAGGAACTTGAATTGTGAGAAGAGACAAGACGTTGGGAAATGAGTGACAATCGGTGACTCACCAGTGACTCACGGTCTACCTGTACCCGGCCGCACCAGGTTCGCAAACGGGTACCCGTACCCGAGTAGGGTACGGGTATTGGGTACCCGATTGCGACCTCTGCTATGAACCTGGCGACCCGGGTTCGATTCCCGCTCATGGCCAACACCAGTGACGATTATCTGAACCGGTCCCGGGCCTCCCCTAGGTCGACTCAGCCTGAAATGAGTACCTGGTGCGGTGTGTAAACATCGCCACTGGGGAGACAAAGGCGGTCGGGCGTGGTGCTGGCCACCCACCCCCTCGTGTGCCGTTCCGGTCTTCATAGGTGCTCGCTAACAGCACTTGCCCCTACAGTCTGTTAAGGCTACACGGGGGATCTTTGTCTTTGAGTCTCTTATCTCGGTGTCTCTTTGGCTGTTGTCTCTTGGCTACGCACGGTGCGAAAGAAGTTCAACATACAAGTCTTTCCGCGTCATTAAAAAGCGCATGCGTTTTGTCATTTGCGTGATAACACAAACACTCGCGTGTAGTTCACGCCTCTTGTATCGCTTCCGAAAATAAAAATAGAATAATAAATAACCACGCGCACGCGTCTCTCCGCGACCACCCCCAGGGCGGGCTGTGGTTCGGAGTGGACGTGACGACGGAGGACGTCGCCGACAACATGCTGGCGTGCGTGTGGGAGCCGGCCGTCGTCAAGATCAACGCCCTGACGGCCGCGTCGGAGGCTGCGTGCCTCGTGCTGTCGGTGGACGAGACGATCCGGAACCCGCGCTCCTCGCAAGAGGGCGGCGGAGGAGGCGGAGGCGCCGGCCGTGGCCGCCCGCACGCGCACTGAGTTCACCGCGGCGGCGGTGGCGGCGGTTGATCGCCGGGCCCAGGTCGATGTGCTGAAGTAAGGGGGGGCAGCTCGACGTTTTGGGCGCACAGCAAAGGCGCGCGCATGCCCAGTATACCCACGTAGAAGTTCTAGCACACACACACACACCCGCGTCGTCCAATGGCTGTCCCACGCTTTCTCCGCGTAACCTGCTTAACGAGCGTCAAGAACTGTCGAGTCCTCGTGAAATCAATAAAGAAGTACTGTTTGTTTGAATCGTTGTCGAGCGTTGTTTCGTTCTTTGTTTATGCTTCTTTACGTGGTCTTGCCCGAAGCTAAAAGTCAGCCAGAATGCACCAAATATTGTTCGTTAATCCGCTTGTCCTGGTGAGGGTTGTGGCGGCAGCGTGTTGAGTAGTGGTGGTCCACACCTCTCTGGCGACAGACTCAGCACTACTACACTATACACTACTACACTATACACTACTACACTATATACTACTATACATTACTATTCACGACTACACTATACACTACTATACATTACTATACACTACACTATACACTACTACACTATACACTACTACACTATATACTACTATACATTACTATTCACGACTACACTATACATTACTATACACTACACTATACACTACTACCCTATACCCTACTATACATTACTATTCACGACTACACTATACATTACTATATACTACTACACACATACACTATACACTACTATACATTAATATACACTACTACACTACTATACATTAATATACACCACTATACACTACTACACTATACACTACTATACACTACTACACTATACACTATTATACATTAATATACACTACCCTATACACTACTACCCTATACACTACTATACATTACTATTCACAACTACACTATACATGACTGTACACTACTACACATACACTACAAGACTCTCGCTCTTGGGGAATTCCCAGGCCAGCCGAGCGACGTGGTCCCAACCAACGCGTCCTGGGCCGGCCCCAGGGGTCTTCGCCCAGTGTGGGATGTTCAACAGGGCAGGGAACAGCTCCTGCTCGCATCGGTGACCACAGGCTGTGTGTGGGACAGAACAACGGTATACAATCCACTTCTACGCCCTGCCCATTCGCCAAAACCCATTTTACGTCGGGGGATGCGTTCCTGAAAGGTTGCGACGTATATCGAAGCGATGTTCGGGGGGGGAAGGGGGGGTAGCAGTTGTGGTTAAGTGGTGGTGGCGAAGGCTGAGAGATGGGCGAGGGGAGGCGATTCAAATCGGGTGGCGATATCGGTAATAAGCATAACCCATAAAACAAAGTTTTTCACTATAAATCCTTTATATGCGTGGCGGCTAGAGTCTTCTCGTCCTCTGGCTTGAGATGGCTGCCACCTATGGGTCAGATGATTGCATTGCACCATTAAGCAATTGGTAATTAAATATAATATTTTTGTCCTAAACAGTGTAAAATTTTGGAGAAAAAAAATTCACGAACATTAATTGTCACGCACAACGAGTCTGTGTTGGAAAATGTCAGCTCGATTGGATCACGGGAAGTGGGTTAAAAAACGACCGAAAGATTTGCACGGTCCTAAGCAAGCAAGCAAGTGAACTTAATATAAAGGATTTAATAAAAGCGACGGGGTGTTTGCGAAACGACGAGCAATAGGGAGGGGGGGAGGCGGAAATTCTGGGTGTAGAGTAAAGGGCCGTACCTAAATGACGTCACGCGATTTTGAACGATTTGTGACCGCCCCCCCCCCCCCCCACATTCGTAACACGACGTCACAAAAAGTCAGACCCCCCCCCACCTTAAATATGACTTCACAAAGCTCTGCCCCCCCCCCTAGACGCTGTCGCCTCGACAGACCTGGTCTTCACCTGAGGACGGCTGCTTATGTTGTGGCCGAAACGTCGTGAAAATTATTTTATTATTTTATTATTTCCCTTCTACGTGACTTTACCGAAAGAACCAAGAAGATGAATCCCTGCAGTCACGAAAGCTTTAAATCGAAATGTATTGTCATTGTAGTGCGTATTTAATGTGGCGCTGCACTCTGATGTCGTAGGAGAAAACATTTATTAAAAAGTCGATTTAATTAAGTAGAACGTGTTGTCTATATTTATTTAAAGTTGCGCATTTTGATGTGACGTCACATTCCTCACCCCCCCCCCCTCGTCACACATCGTCACAAATATCTGACTCCCCCCCTAGGTGCGTGACGTCATTTATGGACGCCCCCTTTGTCTCTGTGTGGCTTTGAGGCCTTGGCCAGTGGTCTCAGTGGCACCACTCCTACTCCCTGGAAGGACAATCCTCCACTCTGCCCACTCGTGGCTCCTCCTCCTTGTGGCTCCTCCTCCTTGTGGCTCCTCCCCCTTGCTCTTCGTGGCTCCTCTTCGCTCCTGCTCGTGGCTCCCCCTTGTGGTTCCTCCCCCTAGCTCTTCGTGGCTCCTCCTCTACGTGGCTCCTCCTCTTTGCTTGTGGCTCCTCCCTCCTTGTGGCTCTTCGTTCCTCATCGGTGGCTCCTCCTCCTGCTTGTGGCTCCTCCCTCCTTGTGGCTCTTCGTTCCTCATCGGTGGCTCCTCCTCCACGTGGCTCCTCCTCCTTGTGGCTCCTCCTCCTCCACGTGGCTCCTCCTCCTCGCTCTTCGTGGCTCCTCCTCCTCGTGGCTCCTCCTCCCTCTTCGTGGCTCCTCCTCCTCCCTCTTCGTGGCTCCTCCTCCCTCTTCGTGGCTCCTCCTCCCTCTTCGTGGCTCCTCCTCCTCGTGGCTCCTCCTCCCTCTTCGTGGCTCCTCCTCCCTCCTCCTCGTGGCTCCTCCTCCCTCTTCGTGGCTCCTCCTCCTCGTGGCTCCTCCTCCCTCTTCGTGGCTCCTCCTCCCTCCTCCTCGTGGCTCCTCCTCCCTCTTCGTGGCTCCTCCTCCCTCCTCCTCGTGGCTCCTCCTCCCTCTTCGTGGCTCCTCCTCCCTCTTCGTGGCTCCTCCTCCCTCTTCGTGGCTCCTCCTCCCTCCTGCTCGTGGCTCCTCCTCCCTCCTCTTCGTGGCTCCTCCTCCCTCCTCTTCGTGGCTCCTCCTCCCTCTTCGTGGCTCCTCCTCCCTCTTCGTGGCTCCTCCTCCCTCTTCGTGGCTCCTCCTCCCTCTTCGTGGCTCCTCCTCCTCGTGGCTCCTCCTCCCTCTTCGTGGCTCCTCCTCCCTCCTCTTCGTGGCTCCTCCTCCTCGTGGCTCCTCCTCCCTCTTCGTGGCTCCTCCTCCCTCTTCGTGGCTCCTCCTCCCTCTTCGTGGCTCCTCCTCTTCGTGGCTCCTCCTTCCTCTTCGTGGCTCCTCCTTCCTCCTCTTCGTGGCTCCTCCTCCTCGTGGCTCCTCCCTCTTCGTGGCTCCTCCTCCCTCTTCGTGGCTCCTCCTTCCTCCTCTTCGTGGCTCCTCCTCCTCGTGGCTCCTCCTCCCTCTTCGTGGCTCCTCCTCCCTCTTCGTGGCTCCTCCTTTCTCTTCGTGGCTCCTCCTTCCTCCTCTTCGTGGCTCCTCCTCCTCGTGGCTCCTCCTCCCTCTTCGTGGCTCCTCCTCCCTCTTCGTGGCTCCTCCCCCTCGTGGCTCCTCCTCCCTCTTCGTGGCTCCTCCTCCCTCTTCGTGGCTCCTCCCCTCTGCTCGTGGCTCCTCCTCTTCGTAGCTCCTCCTCTTCGTGGCTCCTCCTTCCTCCCTCCTCGTGGTTCCGACTCGTTCGATCGCGTGGGGACCCGGCCTCTCCACATCCCAGGATCTCTCCCCACTACACCCGAGAGCAACCCAGCCCTCCTGCCCCCCACCACCACCACCCAGCCCCACAGCCCCCCACCACCACCACCCAGCCCCCCTCCACCACCACCCAGCCCACCACCACCACCACCCAGCCCCCCACCACAACCACCCAGCCCCCCACCACCACCACCCAGCCCCCCACCACCACCACCCAGCCCCCCACCACCACCACCCAGCCCACCACCACCACCCAGCCCACCACCACCACCCAGCCCACCACCACCACCGCCCCCCCATGCTGCGTCAGCTGGGGTCTCTGGTCCCGCGGCTACTGCGGGGCCGCGGGTTCCTGGTGGCGAACACTGCGAGCTGCGGGGCTCTGATGGCCACGGGAGACGCGGTGCAGCAGTGGAGGGAGACGCGCGCAGGGAGACGCGAGCGCAGGGACTGGGTGCGAACCGGTGAGACGCGCGGGGTGTTCGTGTGGGGGGACATGTGGGGACACAGTGGGACACGTGGGGGGACATAGGGGGACACGTGGGGATACGGTGAGACACAGTGGGACATGTGGGGGACACGTGGGGGGACACGTGGGGACACGGTTAGACACAGTGCGACATAGGGGGGGACACGTGGAGACACGGTTAGACACAGTGGGACATGTGGGGGGACACGGTTAGACACAGTGCGACATAGGTGGGGACACGTGTGGACACGGTGAGACACAGTGGGACACGTGGGGGGACACGGTGAGACATGGGGGGGACACGTGGAGACACGGTGAGACACAGTGGGACACGTGGGGGGACACGTGGGGACACGGTGAGACACAGTGGGACATAGGGGGGGACACGTGGGGGGACACGTGGGGGGACACGGTGAGACATAGTGGGACACGTGGGGGACACGTGGGGACAAGGTGGGGACACGGTGACACAGTGGGACATGTGGGGGGACACGTGGGGACACGGTGAGACACAGTGGGACATAGGGGGGACATAGGGGGACACGTGGGGACACGGTGGGACATAGGCCGGACACGGTGGGGACACAGTGCGACATAGGGGGGGACACGTGGGGGGACACGGTGAGACACAGTGGGACACAGTGGGACACGTGGAGACACGTAGGGATACGGTGAGACACAGTGGGACATGTGGGGGGACACGGTGGGGACACGGTGAGACACAGTGGGACATAGGGGGGGACATGTGGGGGGACACGCGGGGACACGGTGAGACACAGTGGGACACGTGGGGAGACACGTGGGGATACGGTGAGACACAGTGGGACACGTGGGGGGACACGGTGATACATGGGGGGGACACGTGGAGACACGGTGAGACACAGTGGGACACAGTGGGGGACACGCGGGGGACACGTGGGGACACGGTGAGACATGGGGGGGGGCACGTGGGGACACGGAGAGACACAGTGGGACATAGGGGGGGACACGTGGGGGGACACCGTGGGGACACGGTGAGACACAGTGGGACATAGGGGGACACGCGGGGACACGGTGAGACACAGTGGGGCATGTGGGGGGACACGGTGGGGACACGGTGAGACATAGGGGGGGACACGGTAAGACACAGTGGGACATGTGGGGGGACACGTAGAGACACGGTGAGACACAGTGGGACATAGGGTGGGACACGTGGGACACAGACAGGGGGTGACGCAGGGGTTCACTAGGGACACGTGCACTTGGAATCTACCAGTAAGACACGGGGCGGGGGGACACGGGGACACATTGTGTGACACAGCGTGAGACACATTGTTGAGACACATTGCTGAGACACATTGTGAGACACACAGGGACATTGTGAGACACAGTGAGACGCACAGTGTGACAGCGTGACACATGGTGAGACACATTGTGTGAGACGGACATTGTGTGACACACAGGATGACACAAGGGGACATTGTGTGACACAGTGAGACACAGTGTGAGACACAGTGTGACACATTGTTGAGACACACCGTGAGACACATTGTGAGACACACGGGGACACTGTGAGACACATTGTGTGACACATTGTTGAGACACATCGTGAGACACATTGTGTGACACACAGGGTGACACACGGGGACATTGTGTGACACAGTGAGACACACACTGTGACACAGTGAGACACACATTGTGTGACATCGCGAGACACATTGTGAGACACACACAGTGAGACACATTGTGAGACACATTGTGAGACACACTGTGTGACACATTGTGAGACACAGTGAGACACACACAGTGTGACACAGTGAGACACACACTGTATGACACATTGTGAGACACAGTGAGACACACAGTGAGACACATTGTGAGACACACACTGTGTGACACATCGTGAGACACACAGTGAGACACATTGTGAGACACAGAGAGACACACACTGTGTGACACATTGTGAGACACAGTGAGACACACACTGTGTGACACATTGTGAAACACAGAGAGACACACACTGTGTGACACATTGTGAGACACAGTGAGACACACACTGTGTGACACATTGTGAGACACACAGTGAGACACATTGTGAGACACAGAGAGACACACACTGTGTGACACATTGTGAGACACAGAGAGACACACACTGTGTGACACATCGTGAGACACATCGTGAGACACACACGGGGACATTGTGAGACACAGTGAGACACACACTGTGAGACACACACAGTGAGACACATCGTGAGACACACACGGGGACATTGTGAGACACAGTGAGACACACACTGTGAGACACACACAGTGAGACACATTGTGAGACACAGAGAGACACACACTGTGTGACACATCGTGAGACACAGAGAGACACACGGGGACATTGTGAGACACGTGGGGACACGGACAGCCACCACGTGGTTGTGAGTGACCTCTGACTGAAGGGTTACATCACAACTCCGGGGTTTAATGTCTGGAGGGCGGAGCTGATGCACATTCTGAAGTTTAACACGCAGCAGCAGTAGGCTACCGCCACCAATATCATCCAGAAGAGAGGTTTTTTGGGGTTAGATCGCGTAAATATATAAATGTGTCGTCAAACCCGCCACCACCCGACACAGCCAACTAGTAAGGGTTGTCACGTAACACAACGTGGCCAATTCGTCACTAATACAGCACTATTGTATAGTGTAGTGTGTAGTGTAGTGTATAGTGTAGTGTGTAGTGTAGTGTATAGTGTAGTGCAGTGTATAGTGTAGTATACTAGTACAGCACTAGTGTATAGTCTAGTGTGTAGTGTAGTGTATAGTGTAGTGTGTAGTGTAGTCTATAGTGTAGTGCAGTGTATAGTGTAGTTTATAGTGTAGTTTATAGTGTAGTGTGTAGTGTAGTGTATAGTGTAGTGTATAGTGTGTAGTGTATTGTGTAGTGTAGTGTATAGTGTAGTGTAGTGTGTAGTGTAGTGCAGTGTATAGTGTAGTTTATAGTGTAGTTTATAGTGTAGTGTGTAGTATATAGTGCAGTGTATAGTGCAGTGTATAGTGTAGTGTATAGTGCAGTATACTAGTACAACACAAACCGGTGTACTCCGATGATAAATGTTATTTTGCTGTGCCTTTTTACACCTGATGAAGGAAGCTTGTGTTGCCTCCGAAACGTCGTGATTTAATTGATTTATTTTCATTTATTTTTTTATTTTTACCTACGTGACTTTACCTGAAATAACCTAAGAGTATAGCTTTGTTGACGCTTTTCGTGTGTGGTCAAGTTTAGCATCAGCGTGGCTGTAACAATTTTTCCCGCTGTCGCTCCGAGACAACTTGACGCGGCGTCCATCACACGTACGTCCCCCCACAACCTCGTCCGGGACGGTGGCGCCTGTTCCCCCGCGTCACAACGCGTTTGCCTCGGTAAAGAAAAACAAAAAGTGGCTTGGCTCCGGCGATACGCAATCTGCACGATGAGCTAGCATCCACCGCTCCCGCCCCGCGCCCACCAGAACGTCGCTCCATTTGTCGCTGTCAGCATCGAACAAAAGTTTGTCATAGTCGTCGTCGGTGGTGGTGACCGCCGATCGGGAGGCCCGGAGGTAGCTGCTTAAAATCCAGCCGCAAAAAAATCTCCGCGGCTGCCCGACGCCGCGGACGCCCCCTGCCCCTTCTTCTCTCACGCCACTTCATCCGCCCCTGCCCTGTGCGTGTGTCCGTGCGTGTGCACCTTGTGCCCCCCCCCTCCCCCTCCACCGGCGCAGCGCGCATGTTCTCCGTGGGCATCGTGATGGGACCCATCCTCCACCTGTGGTACGTCTACCTCGACAAGTTCCTGCCGGAGAGGACGAGGAAAGTGGTCGCCAAGAAGATCCTCGCCGACCAGCTCATCGCCTCGCCGCCGTTAGCGGCTCTCTTCTTTTTCGGTGGGTTTGACGCGCCGCGGGAATGCCGACGGGCGCTGACCGGCGAGCGTTGACCGGCGAGCGTTGACCGGCGAGCGTTGACCTGTAAACAAAACGCCTCTGAGGCCGGTTGCTAGTCGCGAGGGCGGTCTTGCCAGTGGCCCAGCTTGTGCAAAAAGACCCCCCCTGGATTTGATCTTCCACGGAGGTCATGGTCCCACCCGAATGCGCATCCGCTGAACAAACCGTGGGAGTAAATCCGGATACCTGACGCACAAATATGGCGGGAAAAAAGTCCGATCGTGGTGCGACTGTGGTCATCCAGAACACAACGTGGAACGAAGCAAATTGCTCCGGATCCACAAATACGAAGACATCACGGCGATGCTGCATTAAACCACTGCTCCTGATGCGGTTATCTTAGCTTGACCACTCGAATGTGAATTTGTAGTTTGTTCATAATAGAGGTTTTTTTTGGGTTAAGTATATAAATGTTGTGTCGTTCAAACCCGCCACCACCCGACACAGCCAACTCGTAAGGGGTCGTCACGTAAACAGAACGTGGCCAATTCGTCACTAGTACAGCACACCGGTGTGTTGGCTGTGTCCGGTGGTGGCGGGTTTTACCGACACATTTATATATTTACGCGATCTAACCCAAAAAAAACCTCTTATGGATGATATTGGTCGCGAAAGCCTCCTACTACGCGTTGTCGTCTGTTGCTCACGTCGCTGCTTGTAGTACGGCTGCTGATGTAGACGCAGAGCGACGACCACAATCTCACATTCAGGTAGTAAAGCCCAGGCAACCGCGTCAGGATCAAGCAGGGAGTCGTGTGTATCATCATCGCTGCGATGTCTCGTTCGTATTTGTGGGATGTTGTGCGGTCTTATTCTGGATGACAACAGTCGCACGCTACTGGAGAGTTTAAAATGTTCCACATTTGTGCATACGGTTGGTGGATCACCGCACGTGTTGCCAAACTTTCCTTCCCATGGGCATCGAGGTGACAAATGTGCGAGTGACCCGCGCCTCTAACACCAAGCTCGTCGTTCCTATCAAACCGGGACATGTCAGTTTAACGCGAAGGCTAAACATCTGGTTGTTGCCTGATGATGCCGGTTGTAATTACTGGCTAAACGTCGTACTCTGATTGTAAATGTTGTGGCTTTGCTCTCCAACACACCTGTGTGCTGTACTAGAATCGAATTGGCACGTTCTGTTTCCGTGACACATTACTAACTGGCTGTGTCGGGTGGTGGCGGTTTTAACGACACATATTTACGCGATCTTACCCAAAAAAACTATATTACGGGTTATGTCACCGATCAAAAAGCCAGTCTGCTAAACGAGATGTCCCCGAAGTTCTACGCAATCCCGCAGCATCGGATATTAATCACAAATCAACTCAACACGTCCGTCAATAACACTGTGGCCTTAGGAGTAAAAATGTAGAATAGGCAACGTTTCGGGCGATAGCCCTTCTTCATAGCACACCAGAGAGCCTTTGCCCTGAATGATGCCTATTACTTATTTTAGTTCTTTTAAGGCCACACGCGAAATAGCCCCACACAAATGGTGGCGAGATCCATTCTAGAGGTTTTTGGGTTAGATCGCGTAAATACAAACGTGTCGTGAAACCCGCCACCACCCGACGCAGCCAATCGGTAAGCTTTGTCACGTAAACAGAGTATGCCAATTCCTTACTAGTACAGCACGCCGGTGTGTTGGAGAGTAAACCCACAACATTTACAATTCAATTACCGTGACGTTTCGCCAGTAATTGCAACAAGCCTCGTCAGGCAACAGCCAGAGCTGTAGAGATATTATCCTCTTCTTGGTTCTTTCGGTAAAGTCACGTAGAAGGGAAATAATAAAATAATAAAAATAAAACATTATAAAATCATTCTCACGACGTTTCGACCAGGTCTGTCGGGGAGACAGCGTCTGACGCTGTCTCCCCGACAGACCTGGTCTTCACCTGAGGACGGCTGCTTGCGTTGTGGCCTAAACGTCGTGAGAATTATTTTATTATGTTTTATTTTATTATTTTATTATTTCCCTTCTACGTGACTTTACCGAAAGAACCAAGAAGATGAATCCCTGCAGTCACGAAAGCTTTAAATCGAAAAATAAAAGATATTCTCCTGTTTTGGCGAGATGTTAACTACCTCGCCCAGTGTGCAGGAGGTCGTGGGTTTGATCCCGACCCTGTGACTCCTGCTGTGCATTTGGAGTTTGCGGTGTCTCCTTCTCTCCCCATAGTCGCGTGGATTTTTCTCCGGGTCCTCCGGTATTTCCCTCCACATTTCAAACCAACAGCAAACGCTTCGGAGCATTTGGCTGCTATAACTTTCCACGCGATGCCAAGCCACTTGGGTTGAGCCATCATTTCCGATGACCAGGTCGCTTCTGAATAAGTAGTATTTTTTAAACTTTTTTTAAAACACGCTTTAATGAAATGTACCATACTAGTAATGTAAGAACTCCACGACTCCAGGAAGTGTCCCCGAAGCTTGCCATAACGCAAGAGGCCGTGGTGATTTACAGCCAACGTCAGTTGAGCGTGGACAATTAGACCCAAGCCGAAACATAACATATAAAAAAGATCGTTTAAAAATATATATTTTTTATTTTTAATGATATAATGTAGTATTGTCATCAGTATGACATTAGTATACCAAGTTTGCTGTGGGTTAAAATTGAATTACAAGATTTGAGGATACAACAACAACAACAACAGACAGAGTGAGTTAAATAAAAGCGTGTAAAAAGAGCTTTTACAGCTCCATGCGGCTCCTCACCTGGTAAAATAAAAAGGAGAGTCATTTTATCGTTCTCGCGTTTGCCCCAAAGCACCGTCATCACCACCAAATCACGAGTTTGATTTCTACCTAAGTGACTTTACCCAAAGAACCAAAGAGTATGGATTCCTGCAGTCACGAAAGCTTCAATTCGAGATTGAGTTTGATTCCGTAGTGTCAGCCAGGTGAAGTCTGTCAGCCATGCAAAACAGATTTAACTACACATATTTGGAGCATTCCTGGCAGCGATTTCAGCTGCAACACCTCTACATAACAAAAGGCTCAGTCAACCATTCTACACAAACAAAGACTGATTTCCTGGCAGCGATTTCAGCCGCATCACCTCTACATAACAAAAAGGCTCAGTCCCATTTACACGCACCTTTACATCAGCCGCACCTAGTTTACAAAACAAAGGCTCATTCCTAACAGCGTGCTTCAGCCGCTGCGAACCTCACAAAAATAATATCCAGGGCCTACCTTGGCTCCTCCCACCCTCAACCAGTATATATACAAGGACTGTTTTCTTGGAATTTCTCTCACTTGATACAGCCATCGTGCTGTGACGGTTCCACCTGAAGACGGAAGCTTGTGTTGCCTCCGAAACGTCGTGATTTTTATTTTACTTTTATTAATTTACATTTTTCACCTACGTGACTTTTTTCCGAAAAAACTTAAGAATATGAATCCTGAAGGGAGACTTCCCGATGTTCAAATTCTATCCCTCCGCCGTCCCCGCGTGCAGGAATGGGAGCTCTGGAGGGCCAGAGCGTTAAACATTCCGCCCACGAGTTCGCAGACAAGTTTTGGGAGATGTATATGGTGAGTATTGGGTTCGTAAATCAGAGCCCCACCCCCACCGCCCTCACACGCCGCGCTTTCTACGTGAATGTGTTCCACTAAAGGCAACGGCAATAGGTGCCACGGTGGTGAGATGTTAACTACCTCGCCTGGTGTACAGGAGGTCGTGGGTTCGATCCTGACCCTGACGCCTGCCGCTGTATATGTGGAGTTTGCGGTGTCTCTCTCTCATCATCATCACGGTGGCTAGGAGATGTTAACTACCTCGCCTGGTATACAGGAGGTCGTGGGTTCGATCCTGACCCTGACGCCTGCTGTATATTTGGAGTTTGCGGTGTCTCTCTCTCTCCCCGTGGTCGCGTGGATTTTTCTCCGCATCCTCCCATAGACTCACACAGAGACCCATAGAACTCACGCAGAGACCCCCCATAGACTCGTACAGAGAGACTCATAGACTCACACAAAGATCCATAGACTCACACAGAGGCCCATAGACTCACACAGACGCCCATAGACTCACACAGAGACCCATAGACTCACACAGAGACCCATAGACTACACAGAGACCTATAGACTCACACAGAGACCCATAGACTCACACAGAGATCCATAGAACTCACACAGAGATCCATAGACTCACACAGAGACCCATAGAACTCACACAGAGACCCATAGACTCACACAGAGACCCATAGACTCACACAGAGACCCATAGAACTCACACAGAGACCCATAGACTCACACAGAGACCCATAGAACTCATCGTGAGTCCATGGGTCTCCGTGTCAATCTATGTATGTACGATGTTGAACTTCTTTCGCACCGTACGTAGCTAACCTCGCTAATCAGAGTTTGCCGGGATGAAGAACAAACAAACAAACTAAAACACACAAACAACAGCTCTAAATAAATGAGCTGCATCCCGAATCCAACGCAGCTCAGCGAGCACTCGACGGACACGGTCGGATCTCGCAGGGCCCCGTCGCGACGCGTGCCGGTAGAGACTTTTGCGCCCGTAGTTTGGTGATTGTTTTTTTTATTGTATTTTTGTTGTTTTTTTTTTTGCCAGATGGATTGGACCATCTGGCCCGCGGCGCAAGCGGTCAACTTCTTTACGTCCCGTCGTCCTATCGGGTCATCTACGTGAACGTGATCACCCTGGGATGGGACACATTCCTTTCCTACCTCAAGCACCGGGTGAGGGTTGCTGCTGCTGATGCTGGTGGTGGTGGCGGTGTCACAGTTGGCAAAGTTGAAGGGGCGGCACAGCTGGGTGCATCTGCCAGTCATCTCAGTCGGTCAACCCCCATGGCACCAGCTGGGGGTCTGTCCCGTAGACCTCCAGTCGGTGCCGAATCATCAACACTGTCACGTGATAGCATGCCTGTCAAGCCCTTATCAGTGCCTACCTTCTTACAGACCAATTCACATGCCTGTCAACCTCTTATCAGAGCCCTCTATTTTATTAAAGACCTATTCACATACCTGTCAATCCCTTATCAGTGCCCTACCTTTCGATTTAAAGCTTTCGTGACTGCAGGGATTCATCTTCTTGGTTCTTTTGGTAAAGTCACGTAGAAGGGAAATAATAAAATAATTAAAAAATTATTTTATTTATATTATTGCTATATTATTATTTTATGATTATTTTATTATGTTTTATTTTTATTATTTTATTATTGTATTACTTCCCTTCTACGTGACTTTACCGAAAGAACCAGGAAGATGAATCCCTGCAGTCACGAAAGCTTTAAATCGAAAGGTAGGGCACTGATAAGGGATGACAGGTATGTGAATAGGTATTTAATTCAGACCGTATTGGTCACCCCCGTGCTCCCTTATAAATCTCAACGTTCATCCTACAAAGTTCCATCACAAGGGAGAAACACAAACAAAGAGACACAAATAAATCCCGTGTTGAAACGGCTGTAACGCCGTATGGACCTGAAAACTAAATCTCCCTGAAAAAGCATACGGGGTAAGCCGTGTGGGTTGACAGGTACGCGATGGCCTCAAAAGTGCACCTGGCCTGGCACAGGCGCCGTGGTGACGTCACCGTCACCTAGTGGCGAATGGCGGCTGTGTTGGTATTGGCAGCAGTCAGAGGCGTAGAACTCATCTTGTTTATCTTGGGCTTGTCAGGCTAAATGGTACCATATATATATAAATCCGAAAAACATAACAAGACGTGGATTCTTGAGTGTTTCAACATTTCTTGTGCTAATGTCAGTTTTTTGTTATATTTTAATACTGTACGGTATAGAATTGCAATTTAAATATACATTGTCTGTTTACAATACACATGAATGGTAAGTTACGAAGGCTGGGAACGCATCTTGGCGGCACCAACGTTACGAGCCACTCGACGTGCGACGTTTCGATCTGTACCTCTGTATCGAGGTATCTTCTTTCGTACAGCAATATAACCCGTAAAAACAAAGTTTTTCACTATAAATCCTTTATATGCGTGGCGGCTAGAGTCCTCTCGTCCTCTGGCTTGAGATGGCTGCCACCTATGGGTCAGATGATTGCATTGCACCATTAAGAAATTGATAATTAAATATAATATGTTTGTCCTAAAAAGTGTAAAATTTTGGAAGAAAATTTTCACGAACATTAATTGTCACGCACAACGAGTCTGTGTGCAAAATGTCAGCTCGATTGGATCACGGGAAGTGGGTTAAAAACGACCGAAAGATTTGCGCGGTCGTAAGCAAGCAAGCAAACTTAATATAAAGGATTTAAAAAAGAAAAACCGAGAGGAGAGCGCGAAAGCGACGTCCACGCTACGACATCCACGGGAGACCGAGCAAGGCGGGGGTGGGGCGGGCGGGGGGGGGCCCACGTTGGCAAGGCGCCACCGAGGAGAGCGTGAGGCTCTCGCTGACCCCTTGACCTGTTGACCTCTGCAGGACGACAAGACGGACGCGGGCGGAGCGCCGGCCGAGCGAGACGTCGGCGAGCGGAGGGAGGCCGCCTCTGCCGCGTGCGCAGCGACCGAGCTGTGCGTGGAGAGGCCGCCCCTTGCCGAGGCGGCCATGCCGAGCTTGAAGCGGGAGGTTTAGTCGTCGCTGGGGGGGGCGGCGGGGGGTGGTGCAAAATCGCCCATCGGCCCGTATATGGAAGGGAAGTGGGCGTGTAGTTGTCCGTAGGGGCGTTTCTCTGCCCGTTTCGTGGCCTTGCGGTTCGTGAATCGAGGCGTCCGTTGTATCGATTCCGCTCGCGGTCAATCCGCCCCCCTGTTGGCGTTTCGATCCGTTGGAGGGTTAATCGCCGCGTCGAATAATTCTCATGCGAGCCACGGATGCAGTAATCCCATTGGTTGGTGCAGCGTCGTGCGGAGTGCTCCACTCTTTTTGTCGATTGGCCAAATATCTCTCTGCATTCCGTTTTTTTATCGCACACGACGGCGTGCTTAGGAGGAGAGGCGCTCCAACGAAAACCGGCATCTTCCCCGGATCGTTCGCCTTAATGTCGCATTCGTGCCAAAAGAACGATTATATGATGTGGCTTTTAATTTTTTTTATTTTTTCTTCATTCGAAAGCGAAACTCTTCAGGAATGTAGATATATATATTAATTTATGTGTACCGAACGGAGACTGCAAAGGATAACAATACAATTGTTATATTTTAAAGACACGAAAAAAGAACTATCAACGGAGAGGTTTCAAAATAAACCACCCCTGGAACCATCCGTCACGCCCGAGTCAATTCTAGAACGTTACAGTGCCAACGCTACAGTGTTTACCGTACAGAACATTTCTACAGTGCGCCATGTTGCGGGCGGGATGTTAACTCCCTCGCCTGGTATGCACGAGGTCGTGAGTTCGAGCCCCGACCCTCACGATGTCTGCGTATTTGGAGTTTGCAACGTTCTTACCGTGATCGTGTGGATTTTTGTCGGGGGCCCCTCCGTTTTTTTTTTTTTACCCTCTGCATTCAGAATCAGACACGCATTTCGAGCTATTTTGCCTGCTGCTGTGAGTTCCCGCGCGATAAGCCCACTTCGTTGAGCTATCATTTGTGGCCAGGTCGCTTCTGAAACACGAGCTACAGAGCTCACGTGGGAAAATCGTGAGTCGCCGTGCGGGTGGTGGCTATGCCCACGAGGCTGCCCCTCTGATATTCTTAGGTTTTTTCGGTAAAGTCACGTAGGTAAAACATTAAAATTAATAAAAGTAAAATAAAATAAAAATCACGACGTTTCGGAGGCAACACAAGCTTCCGTCTTCAGGTGAAACCGTCACAGCCACGACAGCTGATACAGCTGTCGTGGCTGTGAATCCATGCAGTCACGAAAGCTTCAAATCTAGAATTAATGCCCCTCTGATCTTTTGGAGGCAGCAGCCAGGGTTGGTGAATCGCACGCAGAGAATGTTGCGAAAATCCCCGACTGCGCAGACGTCGGAGGAGACAGCGGGGGGCAAGGTCAATCGTTGACTCCACCGTGTGACGGTGTTTTCTCGTCTTAGCGTCGTGCGGCGGGGCTCTCTTCCCAGGTGCTCCGGTTTCTTGTCAACGCACGAACACTCAAAGTAAATACTTAATTTGGAGCTTTCGTGACTGCAGGAATTACTCTTTGGTTCTTTCGGTAAAGTCACGTATAAAGATAAAATAATAAATTAAAATAATAGCATATTACGACGTTTCGATTGCAACACAAGCAATCATCAGGCATAAAAGAAATAGCAACAAAAATCTAACTAGAAAACTATAGACAGACATACAAGCAGACAGACATCACAAGGACACACAGAGAGAGGACACATATCGGCACAAAGAGAGGGGTCGTTTCTGTGACGGTCCCTTAAATATATACACTACAGATTCCAAAGAACACAGGATGAGATGTTACTATCCTTTGTGCAAGCACTTCCAAGAGTTCATGAACAGTGAGCCTGGTGAAATTTGGGGAGCGCATCGTCAGTAGTGACCCTTTGGTTCCTAGGGTGTTTCGGCCTTTCATACTATACACCCTCCCCAAAGGCGGCCAGCGACAGGGTGATCAATCCTACGCTTGCGTCCCATTCCCAATTAGTCATAGGAGTTGCCTTGTTGTTGATAGCCAACATCCCATGGGACTATGCATGGCAGGGGCGTCCTCCTCCCTGAGTCAAGCATTGTTGACTGCATACCTCCTGGCCCTCTCACTTTGGGGCCCAGCTGGGGTCTTTCCTCTTCATCCAGAGCCACTGACTGCTGCCTTCTGCCGCCTCCGATACAGCTTTGATTGCCGAACGCTGGCTCTGGCCCTTAATTCCCAGGTCTCTAAGCAGTCTGGTTGTAGATGTTGCCACAAAACCTCTGCAGCCCACCTCCACTGGTCGGACTTCTGTGTTCCAGCCATGATGCCGTGCTTCGGCAGCAAGATCGGCATAGCGCAGATGTTTTCGCTCATAAGCCTCATCTACTGAGTCCTCCCAGGGTACTGTGAGCTCAATGATGAAGACCTTCTTGAGCGAACGGGACCAGAGCACCATGTCAGGTCTTAGGGTGGTGGTTGCGATCTCCGGAGGAAACACAAGTTGCCGGCCAATGTCAGCTAGCATTTTCCAGTCGCGGGCCAAGCGCAGCTGGTCTCGCTCTATTGGTGTAGAGCCGCTCTTCGGTGGTTTAGCACCTTCGCGGACAAAGGTCGTCCGTAATGGGTGTGATGCTGCTGGGGGTGGTAGTACTATATACCACGCTACTATACACTACACTACTATACACGACACTTATACACTACACAATACACTACACTACTATACACTGCACTATACACTACACTACTATAAACTACGCTACTATACACTACACTATACACTACACCAGTGGTCGTTAACCCGGGTTGCGAGATGCCCCTTTCTGGGAGGTGGCGAGACACGGCAAGATTGTTTATTTAGAAGGCAAATCATCGAAAACACAAATTAAGCACGCGACCAATATCATCCATCATAGAGTTTCTTGGGGGGGGGGGGGGGTTAGAGTCGCGTAAACACAAATGTTGTGTCGTTAAACCCGCCACCACCCGACGCAGCCAACAACGGTAGTGTGACATTTCGATTTTAAGCTTTCGTGACTGCAGGGATTCATCTTCTTGGTTCTTTCGGTAAAGTCACGTAGTAATGGAAATTATTAAATAATAAAAATAAAACATAATAAAATAATTCTCACGACGTTTCGGCCACAACGCAAGCAGCCGTCTTCACCTGAGGACGGCTGCTTGCGTTGTGGCCGAAACGTCGTGAGAATTATTTTATCATGTTTTATTTTATTATTTCCATATTCTTAGGTTTTTTCGGTAAAGTCACGTAGGTAAAACATTAAATTAATAAAATAAAATAAAAAATCACGTTTCGGAGGCAACACAAGCTTCCGTGTTGCCTCCGAAACGTCGTGATTTTTAATTTTATTCTACTTTTATTAATTTTAATGTTTTACCTACGTGACTTTACCGAAAAAACCTAAGAATATGAATCCTTGCAGTCACGAAAGCTTCAAATCTAGAATTATTATTTCCATTCTACGTGACTTTACCGAAAGAACCAAGAAAACGGTAGTGTGGTTAGTGTCACGTGTACATAACGTGGCCCCGAATCGCACGACGTTTTGCCGGCCATCATTTACAACCGGCATCATCAGGCGGGGAGCAAGTCGGTTTTGTTCGTGACGCGTTGAGTGGCACCCACGTGGCCCGCCCCCCCCCCCCCCACGTGGCCCGCCCCCCCCCCCCCCCCCCCACGTGGCCCGCCCCCCCCCCCACGTGGCCCGCCCCCCCACGTGACCCCCGCCCCCCCCACGTGGCCCGCCCCCCCCACGTGGCCCGCCCCCCCCACGTGGCCCGCCCCCTCACGTCGCCCGCCCCCCCCACGTGGCCCGCCCCCCCCACGTGGCCCGCCCCCCCCACGTGGCCCGCCCCCCCCACGTGGCCCGCCCCCCCACGTGGCCCGCCCCCCCCACGTGGCCCCGCCCCCCCCACGTGGCCCGCCCCCCCCCCCCCCCACGTGGCCCGCCCCCCCCCCCACGTGGCCCGCCCCCCCCACGTGGCCCCCCCCCCCACGTGGCCCGCCCCCCCCCCCACGTGGCCCGCCCCCCCACGTGGCCCGCCCCCCCACGTGGCCCGCCCCCCCCCCCCCACGTGGCCCGCCCCCCCCCCCCACGTGGCCCGCCCCCCCCACGTGGCCCCCCCCCCCACGTGGCCCGCCCCCCCCCCCACGTGGCCCGCCCCCCCCACGTGGCCCCCCCCCCCACGTGGCCCGCCCCCCCCCCCACGTGGCCCGCCCCCCCACGTGGCCCGCCCCCCCACGTGGCCCGCCCCCCCACGTGGCCCGCCCCCCCACGTGGCCCGCCCCTCCCACGTGTTCCGCCCCCCCCACGTGGCCCGCCCCCCCCACGTGGCCCGCCCCCCCCACGTGGCCCGCCCCCCCCCCCCCACGTGGCCCGCCCCCCCCCCCACGTGGCCCGCCCCCCCCACGTGGCCCCCCCCCCACGTGGCCCGCCCCCCCACGTGGCCCGCCCCCCCACGTGGCCCGCCCCTCCCACGTGGTCCCTGCGAGCTGAGCGCCGCTTTGCCGCGGTCCCTTAGTGCGGAATCGGCCGCTGCGAACTTCACTGCGCGCCGCGCGAGCCCTGAGAGGTGAGAGACACGTGCTGTCTCACTGCGTGTACTGTCTGTACAGTGTGTGTACTGTCTATACAGTGTGTGTGTACTGTCTGTACAGTGTGTACTGTCTATAATACTGTGTGTACCGTCTATACAGTGTGTGTACTGTCTATAATACTGTGTACTGTCTGTACAGTGTGTACTGTCTACACAGTGTGTACCGTCTATACAGTGTGTACTGTGTATATATACTGTCAGTGTGTACTGTCTGTACACGCTGAGTCCTGGGTCTCCCCTAGGTCGACTCGGCCTCAAATGAGTACCTGGTGCGGTGTGTAAACATCGCCACTGGGGAGACAAAGGCGGCCGGGCGTGGTGCTGGCCACCCACCCCCTCGTGTGCCACAGTGCCGGCCTTCATAGGTGCTACTCGCTAACAGCACTTGCCCCGACAGTCTGTTGAGGCTACACGGGATTGATCATTGTGTTTGGTGTGTGTGGTGTGTTGTGTGTGTGTTGTGTTTGGTGTGTGTGTTGTGTTTTGTGTGTGTGTTGTGTGTGTTTGGTGTGTTTGGTGTGTGTGTTGTGTTGTGTTTGTTGTGTGTGTGTTTGGTGTGTGTTGTGTTTGGTGTGTGTGTGTGTTTGGTGTGTGTATTGTGTTTGGTGTGTGTATTGTGTTTGGTGTGTGTATTGTGTTTGATGTGTGTGTTGTGTTTGTTGTGTGTGTTTGGTGTGTGTGCGTTTGGTGTGTGTGTGTTGTGTTTGATGTGTGGTGTGTGTGTACTCTGTGATGTTGTACTGTCTGTGCTGTGTACTGAATGTGTCTTGTATCCCTGCGTACTGCCTCTGTGTCTGTCTATGTGCACTCTGTGTGGTCTTCTGTGATACATAGCTGTGTGTACTGTGTTAATGTACTGTGTGTGATGTGTGTGTACGTGTAATTCATTGGTAGGGTGTGTACTGTGTTAATGTACTGTGTGATGTGTGTGTACGGTGTAATTCATTGGTAGGGTGTGTACTGTGTTAATGTACTGTGTGTGATGTGTGTGTACGGTGTAATTCATTGGTTGGGTGTGTACTGTGTTAATGTACTGTGTGTGTACGGTGTAATTCATTGGTAATGTGTGTACTGTGTTAATGTACTGTGTGTGATGTGTGTGTACGGTGTAATTCATTGGTAGGGTGTGTACTGTGTTAATGTACTGTGTGTGATGTGTGTGTACGGTGTAATTCATTGGTAGGGTGTGTACTGTGTTAATGTACTGTGTGTGCTGTGTGTGTACGGTGTAATTCATTGGTAGGGTGTGTACTGTGTTAATGTACTGTGTGTGCTGTGTGTATACGGTGTAATTCATTGGTAGGGTGTGTACTGTGTTAATGTACTGTGTGTGATGTGTGTACGGTGTAATTCATTGGTAGGGTGTGTACTGTGTTAATGTACTGTGTGTGCTGTGTGTGTATGGTGTAATTAATTGGTAATGTGTGTATTGTGTTAATGTACTGTGTGTGCTGTGTGTGTATGGTGTAATTAATTGGTAATATGTGTACTGTGTTAATGTACTGTGTGTGCTGTGTGTGTATGGTGTAACTAATTGGTAATATGTTTACTGTGTTAATGTACTGTGTGTGCTGTGTTTGTATGGTGTAATTAATTGATAATATGTGTACTGTGTTAATGTACTGTGTGTGCTGTGTTTGTATGGTGTAATTAATTGATAATGTGAGTACTGTGTTAATGTACTGTCTGTGTGTGCTGTGTGTGTATGGTGTAATTAATTGGTAATATGTGTACTGTGTTAATGTACTGTGTGTGCTGTGTTTGTATGGTGTAATTAATTGATAATGTGAGTACTGTGTTAATGTACTGTCTGTGTGTGCTGTGTGTGTACGATGAAATTCATTGGTAGGGGGCCGTCCATAAATGACGTCACGCACCTAGGGGGGGGGGTCAGACATTTGTGACGATGTGTGACGAGGCGGGGGGTGAGAAATGTGACGTCACGTAAAAAATGCGCAATTTTTAATAAACATATAATTGCTATAACAACACTGATTGTTATAACAACACAGGCTATACCGGGGAGGCGGGAATCTTTGTCTTTGTGTGTACTGTGGGGCTAGTGGAGGTCGCCACGGTGGCTAGGAGATGTTAACTCCCTCGCCTGGTGTACAGGAAGTCGTGGACTCGATCCCGACCCTTGACGCCTGCTGCTGTATATTTGGAGTTTGCGTGTCTCTATCTCATCATCATCACGGTGGCTAGGAGATGTTAACTCCCTCGCCTGGTGTACAGGAGGTCGTGCGTTCCATCCCGACCCGTGACGCCTGCTGTATATTTAGAGTTTGCGTCTCTCTCTCTCTCTCCCCGTGGTCGAGCGTATTTTATTCTGGGTTCCCCCACTCCCCCTTCTCTTCGTTGTCCGCGGCCAGCACCACCCACTGGAGATGTCCCTGAGCGCCGTGCAGGACGTGGAGGTGTCGCACGACGCCATCTACAAGTACGTCCTGGTGCGTGTCCACGCGCAGGATGGGGCGGTGCACAAGGACGTGGTGCGAGGCTTCCCCTCGGCAGAGTTCCACGGTGAGGAATGCCGTCGCGTTGCGACCCCGTGCCGCCACCCCTTGCTGACCGAGCTTGCGTTACGGTGGAGGAAACGGAAGAGCCCGGAGGGAGCACGTGCAGAGCAGGGGGGAAGGTGCAGACTCCGTGCAGAAAGTTGCCCGGGTCGGGATTCGAACCCGGGATGCGGAGGTCACGTGTGTCACCACTGCGCGCCACCCCTACCGTCCATCAATCGGAAACGTTTACCTGCAACGTTAGTCAGATCCAGGTGGCCGGTTTGCAAAGTCCAGCCTCCGAAGTGAGATGTCTCACTTGGCTCATACCAGAGGTCGCAACCGGGTACCCGATACCCGTACCCTACCCGATACCCGGCTACCCGTACCCGGTCGGGTACGGGTATGGGTACCTGTTTGCGACCCTGGTGCGGCCGGGTACGGGTAGGCCGTGAGTCACTGGTGAGTAACCGTTTGTCACTCATTTCGGGTAGGGTACGGGTACGGGTAGGGAACGGGTACCCGTACCCGGCCGGGTACGGGTACCCATTTGCGACCCTGGTGCGGCCGGGTACGGGTACTGATAAGGAATCAAAACCCGTTTGCGACCTCTGGCTCACACCGATTTTTTTTACGTGACGAAATAAAGCAAGACATTGATTTGAATATTTGATGCACCTGACCCCAGGGGGGTTCTTAAGCTTCAATTGGCCTGCCTCTAACTCACTGGAGCTGTGAGATTTCAGCTCGTGAACGTGGTGGCACTCCCCAAAGTGATTGCGATGGTACGCGGCGGGCGAGAGGGGTTATTTTAGGCAAGACTAAAGATATACTGACGCTCGCGACCTTGCTAACTTTAGTTGAAGCAGGTCTTCCGAAAGTGTGGGTGTGTCTGTTTAATGCACCGACCGCTTCAGTTATTCGGCCTTCATGATTTGAATTCAATGACAGAGTGACCACGTATAACAATACTAATGATTTCGATTTAAAGCTTTCGTGACTGCAGGGATTCATCTTCTTGGTTCTTTCGGTAAAGTCACGTAGAAGGAAAATAATAAAATAATAAAAATAAAACATAATAAAATAATTCTCACGACGTTTCGGCCACAACGCAAGCAGCCGTCTTCAGGTGGAGAACAGGTCTGTCGAGGAGGCAGACTCTGAATGCGACAGACCTGTTCTCCACCTGAAGACGGCTGCTTGCGTTGTGGCCGAAACGTCGTGAGAATTATTTTATTATGTTTTATTTTTCGTCTTTTATTATTTTCCTTCTACGTGACTTTACCGAAAGAACCAAGAAGATGAATACTAATGATGCCTATTTTTATTCAGGGAAAGCCTCACTCAATTATGAGACTTTTTCACAAGTTTCCTCCTATATTGGGAGTGTTTGGCCTATCTCCTTTTTTGTTCGATAGTTTGACACTAATTTACAATCTATTTTACAAAATACTCCGTTAATTCTAGATTTAATATTTTCGTGATCCATACTCTTTGGATCTTTCGGTAAAGTCACGTAGGTGAAAATAAATATAAATTAAATGAAAATAACTAAATTAAATTATCTCTTTGGCATACCTCAGCGAGTGTTTTCACTGTTGGTTGTCACCACCTGATGACGGACGCTTGTGTTGCGCCCCAAACGTCGTGATTTAATTTAGTTGTTTTCATTTTAATTAATTTTTATTTTCACCTACGTGACTTTACCGAAAGAACCAAAGAGTATACTCCGTTAAGCCTGTCCCGCCATGCATGTCTCGGATCCTGGGTGCGTATCTTGCCAGGCGATCGCAGGTTCTTTCCGTCCACTGCGCGGGAATTAATACACTTATACAATTTGTACTTACACAGTAAGGCTCAAGAGTACGCGGACCCGCTGATACGTGACCGATCCCGATTCACACTTACACCTTGTGACTCGTACTTTCGCTACACGCACGGGGCGAGAAGCCAGGAGTCAAATCACCGCCCCAGCCATCACGCGAGCGATGGGTTTGACGGCGTGTAACTCTATCACCAGGCGCAAGAAATTAGTCCAAAGCAATATCTAGTGTTCTAAATAGTGTTATTTATATATAGTGTTAATAATATAGTGTTATTTATAAAGTGTTAATAAAATATCTAGTGTTCTATCTGATCCGGATGCTACCGGTGAATAGTGAATTATTTACTGTGCACTACCGTACTTTATTACACATATGTGTACATTTATATACATTTTATATCAACCCATATGGTTTACCCCGTATTTTTGTACTGGGAAATTTATTTTTGCAGGTCCATACGGCGTACGGCCGTTTCAATACTGGCAAAAACATATTTTTGTCTATGTATTTGTGTTTTTACCTTGTGATGGGACTTTGGAGGATGAACGCTCAGTATTATAAGGGGCACGGGGTGACCACTAAGGTCTGCATTGCTCTGTAATAAGATAGGCACTGATCAGGGGGTGACAGGTATGTTATATCCACTCTTACATCGTACATACTACACTCCTATAGTATACGGTAGTATTATATAACACATCGTGGTCTACAGCAATACACCCGTCCTATGTAAAAAAAAACATTTGCACTGGGGAGACAAAGGCGGTCGGGCGTGGTGCTGGCCACCCACCCCCTCGTGCACCGTTCTGGCTTTCAAAGGTGCTCGCTAACAGCACTTGCCCCAACAGTCTGTCGAGGCTATTCAGGGGATCTTTTTTCTTCGTAGACGGTTTTAATGGGCAGCGGTTCGTCTTGACGATTCTAATTTCTGTGCCGGGTGCCGCCCCCTTCCGCCCCGCCGTGCAGCGGACATCTACGACAAACTGAGCGCCGAGGTGGAGAGGCTGGGCCTGGACTGCGAGTGCCTGGGTGGCGGTCGTATCCAGCACGACTCCGCCACCAAGACCATCAAGGTGTACGGCCACTCTATAGTACGTCCCGGCCAGACCAACCGCGTCTCCCCGTGCGGCCACGCTAAGAAGGGGAGGGGAGGGAGGGGGGGGGGGGTCCGCGCGCGCCGCCAGGTTTGACTGCCGTGTTCGCGGCAGTTTCCCCAACCCGTGATGTCTGAATTTCGATTTAAAGCGTTCGTGACTGCAGGGATTCATCTTATTGGTTCATTGGGTAAAGTCACGTAAAAGGGAAATAATAAAATAATAAAAATTAAACAGAATTCTCACGACGTTTCGGCCACAATGCAAGCAGCCGTCCTCAGGTGAAGAACAGGTCTGTCGGATGCTGTCTTTCCGACAGACCTGTTCTTCACCTGAGGACGGCTGCTTGCGTTGTGGCCGAAACGTCGTGAGAATTATTTTATTTCGATTTAAAGCTTTTGTGACTGCAGGGATTCATCTTCTTGGTTCTTTCGGTATTCTACGTGACTTTACCGAAAGAACCAAGAAGATGAATTATTTTATTATGTTTTATTTTTATTATTTTTTTATTTCCCTTCTACGTGACTTTACCGAAAGAACCAAGAAGATGAATCCGTGATCTCTGCTTGCCGCGTTTGTCTGCTCGCCGGGCCGCCCTTGACGAAGCGCTGTGGTGGCTCAATGGGTGGTTATTTACCCGGGCGATGGACTCCTGAACGTCCCGGTACGCGTGACCACTTGACGAGGGCTTCGCGTGACGATCTCTAGGCTCCGTACGTTGGCAGCCGTTCTGTTGGGGCTGCCACCTACTCACCGGCGTGGCCTGGCCCAGAGCAGCGGTTTTGTGGGGGTTGTGAACCTGGCCACCCGAGTTTGATTTCCTGCCACGGCTTACACCGATGGTGGTGGGTTTTCCGAACCGATTCTGAGCCCTCTCCCCACTTCATCAGCCTGTACCGATCAGATTGGTGAACATTTACACCATTGGAACCTCATTTGCCAGTAAAAAATATAATAATTGTTTTTTTACCCTTCTATCTGGCAACAAAACTGACACCTTTTTTTTACAAGGAGTCATGTTTGCATAGACCACAATACCTGCAGTCATAATGCAAACAAAAAACATAACTCTGATAAAATATTTTACAATTTTGTCATATCAATATCGTAAGATCGAAATATCGTAAGTCGGGGACTACCTGTATTTTGGTACTGGCAAAGGAGGCCTCATGGTGTAGGGTCTTGACCGTTTGCGCGCAACTCCTGTAATTGTGTCTCCCCTGTGCGCACAGGGATTTGGGAAAGCTGACCATTCGGTGACCACGGAGAAGCTGAAGGCCAAGTATCCGGATTACACCATCACTCATTCCGATGAGGGCTATTAACGTGGAACCCCCCCGGTGATAGTGGTAAATCTCCTTGGTTCTTTCGGTAAAGTCACGTAGAGTGGAAGTAATAAAATAATAAAAATTAAACATAATAAAATAATTCTCACGACGTTTCGGCCACAACGCAAGCAGCCGTCCTCAGGTGGAGAACATGTCTGTCGAGAAGACTTTTCGCTGGTGTCTTCTCGACAGACCTGTTCTCCACCTGAGGACGGCTGCTTGCGTTGTGGCCGAAACGTCGTGAGAATAATTTTATAATGTTTTATTTTTATTATTTTATTACTTCCCTTCTATGTGACTTTACCGAAAGAACCAAGAAAAGGCATTGCGCTTAAGCATCCGCTGCCCCGTACTCAACCACTCCTGAAACGGCCTTTCTTTCTCGTTACACTTTGACGTTTTGCATTTTCAATGCACTTCTCCCCGTTTGCTGTCGCGCAGAGGTCGCAACCGGGTACCCGATACCCGTACCCTACCCGATACCCGGCTACCCGTACCCGGCCGGGTACGGGTACCCGTTTGCGACCCTGGTGCGGCCGGGTACGGGTAGGCCGTGAGTCACTGGTGAGTCACCGTTTGTCACTCATTTCCCAACGTCTTGTCTCTTCTCACAATTCAAGTTCCTAGAATCAACCCACCCGCGCCTGCAACATGGCTTCATCCCAGAGGTCGCAATCGGGTACCCGATACCCGTACCCTACCCGTACCCGGCCGGGTACGGGTAGGGTACGGGTACGGCCGGGTACGGGTACCTGTTTGCGACCCTGGTGCGGCCGGGTACGGGTAAGGAATCAAAACCCGTTTGCGACCTCTGCTGTCGCGTCGGCATGTGCGTGCGTTTATGAAGCGCTGATTAGTCGCGTTGAACAGGCGTACCGAGGTGGCTAAAGATCACGACAGGGAATTGTCTACTTCTCCTCTACCAACCCGCACCACTACATACCTGTCAACCCCCTATCAGTGCCCCCTGCCGTATTACAGACCAACTCAGACCTTACTGGTCACCCCGTGCCCGCATACATCTCAACGTTCATCCTGCAAAGTCCCATCACAAGGAAGAAACACGAACAAATAGACAACATTTTTTTTTGCGCCCGTATTGAAACGGCTGTACGCCATATGGACCTGAAAACTCAATTTCCCTGTACAAGAATACGGCTAAAACGTTAACAGGTGTGTTGATGTCCACCTTTTTGCAATTGGAAATAAAGGCAGTCTATGACAACGTAATGAGCGTATCCCCGAGTTGCTTTTCCGATGAAAAATAAATGAAAAACAAAACGAAACTTCTCCGATGCGTTTTGCAGTCGTGCCGCGCGTCTTTCGGCGTGACGCCCCCGACGTTTCGCTCCACACGCTAGAAGCTTCTCCAGGAACTGGTCGGCTTCGGCTGTGAGTTCCACGTCACCCCTCTCTTCGTGTACAGCACGGAGGGTGTGTTCGTGCGGTGCAAAGGGCTCATACGACGACATGAGCGCACGGTTGGCTACGTGCGGTGCGAAAGAAGTCAAATAACAAATAGACACAGAGAGCGGGCACTCGTTTAAGGCCGGGTTGACCTAGGAGAGGGACAAGAACCGGCTCGGATGATTATCACTGCCGTTGGCAGGTTCGTAGCACAGTGCGCAAACCCAAGCCAACGCCACTCCTTACACAGAATTACAGACGCAGACACAGACACACAACAGCACACAGACACGCGCGCACACATATGTAACACGTACAATGCACACATCGAGATGCACACACAACCACATACATAGACAAAGATCCCCCGTATAGCCTCAACAGACTGTTGGGGCAAGTGCTGTTAGCGAGTAGCACCTATGAAGGCCGGCACGGGACATGAGGGGGTGTGTGGCCAGCACCACGCCCGACCACCTTTGTCTCCCCAGTGACGATGTTTATACACATAGCACCAGGTACTCATTTGAGGCTGAGTCTACCTAGGGGAGGCACGGAACCGGTTAAGGTAATCATCGCCGGGTTCATAGCTTGGCGTGCTAACCGCTACACTCCAGCTCGCGTACAACATTCGCCACTAAGTGGCGGTGACGTCACCACGGCGCTTGTGCCAGGCTATGTGCACGTTGAGGCTTGCATACATACATACGCACACGCACGTGTGTTCGGCTGAACCTGCAGCCAATCCCATTCGTCTGCTCCCAAGCCCTGTTGGAGGATTTAGGGTCAGAGGCTGCAGAATGTTGTCCTGCTTGCCCCCCCCCCCCCCCCCCCGTACTCTACTCACAGTCTATATACCTCCTGCTGCACCTATTCTGCCCGGTTGAGCTTCACCGACTGATCTCACCGTGCTGGTGTCGGCGTTCGCGGGGATATCTCCCGAGATCTGTCGTTGAAGTACGGCAGGCTAAATGTTGCCGGAGACAAAGGGACGAGGTAAGATTTGGATTCTAGATTTGAAGCTTTCGTGACTGCAGGGATTCATACTCTTTAGTTCTTTCGGTAAAGTCACGTAGGTAAAAAATGAAATTAAAATTAATAAAAATAATAAAAATCACGACGTTTCGGAGGCAACACAAGTCTCCGTCATCAGGTGGGACCGTCACAGCTAGATTTGCTGCATCAAGTGAGGCAGGGATTCCAAGATGCAAGCTCTTAAATACAAGTTAAGGGGGAGGAGGGGGGAGGAGCTTATCAGAATGTGGTAGCCAATGAATGGAACGTATTGGGAGGGGGGGCGGGGCTAAAAGAGCACGATGTGTACGTAGACGTGGACGTATTTGTGCGCAAGCCCCTGTTGGTGCACATGATAGAAAAGAACGAAAAATTTATTTTTATTAATTTTTATTACATTTTTTACCTACGTGACTTTACCGAAATAACTACGAGTATTAGATTTGGATGTCGGAGTGAGATTGTGACTTTCATTCTGCCAGCCTTAAAAAGCTGTTGGACTAAATGTTCAGCTGACGCGTGAATCGTATTTCTGCTGGAAATCTGTTGGGGGGGGAAAAAGATGATGTTTTTTTTTACACAAATATATTCAAGTTCTCAAATGTTTCGATTTAAAGCTTTCGTGACTGCAGGGATTCATCTTCTTGGTTCTTTCGGTAAAGTCACGTAGAAGGGAAATACTAAAATAATAAAAATAAAACATGGTCGGTAAGCGAACACATTGGGCTATATAGAGGCACTACACTACAATACACTATACACTACACTACTATATACACTACACATTGGGCTCTATAGAGGCGCTACACTACTATATACTATACACTTCTATACACTACACATTGGGCTCTATAGAGGTACTACACTACTATACACTATACACTACACTACTATATACACTACACATTGGGCTCTATAGAGGCGCTACACTACTATACACTATATACTACACATTGGGTTCTATTGAGGCCCGTCATAAAGCAATTAGTCATTAACAGGGGTGGTCGTTAAGACGGGTTCTACTGTATGTTGAAGCTCAACGTACATACACAGGCACACGATTTCTGTACCTCACCTTGGCCTGAAGACGGTCAGAGCTTGTGACAAACTCCGAGAGGCCCTTTCTAACGTATGCCACCTGCTTGATGAGCTCAGTGGAGACACTGGCCAATCCCAAACGCAAAACACCTGCGCACAAAAATACAGCGTCGTCGTCATCAGTAGCAACAAAACATCATTTACCCTTCTTCTTGGTTCTTTCGGTAAAGTCACGTAGAAGGGAAATAATAAAATAATAAAAAATTTACATTATAAAATACAATTCTCACGACGTTTCGGCCACAACGCAAGCAGCCGTCCTCAGGTGAAGAACAGGTCTGTCGGGAAGAAAGCGTCTGAATGTGTTCACTTTCCATTTCCAATTTTTTTCATGTTTCCCTTAATTTCTAGAGTTAATTAAACGTTTACGTTTGTTTTAAGAGGAACAAAGCTGGCATACAGACGACACTTTGAAAAATGAAGCTTGTGCTCACGTTCGTTCGTTTCTCAGTCCACGTGTCCTGGTGAGGGTCGTGGTGGCAGCGTGTTGAGTAGTGGCGGTCCACACCTCCCTTTCCCTGGCGACAGACTCTAGCACTACTACACTATACACTACACTATACACTACTATACAATATACACTACTATACACTACACTATACACTACTACACTATACATTACTACACTATACACTACTATACACTACACTATACACTACTACACTATATACTACTATACACTACACTATACACTACTATACATTACTATACACTACTACATGATACACTACTAGACACTACTACACTATACAATACTATACACGACTAGATTATACACTACTACACTGTACACTACACTATACACTACTACACTATACACTACTACACTATACACTACTATACACGACTACACTATACACTACTACCCTATACACTACACTATTATACTATACATTATCTTGATTTGAAGCTTTCGTGACTGCAGGAATCCATACTCTTTGGTTCTTTCGGTCAAGTCACGTAGGTAGAAAATAAAATAAATCACGACGTTTCGATCGCAACACAAGCAGTCGTCCTCAGGCGGAAAAAATATAATCCAGCAGTGGAACTACAGTGGATCTTTGTGCGAATCTATGGGTCTCTGTTGCGAGTCTATGGGTCTCTGCAAGTCTATGGGTCTCTGTGTGAGTCTGTGGGTCTGTGTGAGTCTATGGGTCTCTGTGTGAGTCTATGGGTCTCTGCGAGTCTATGGGTCTGTGTGTGAGTCTATGGGTCTCTACGAGTCTATTGGTCTCTGTGTGAGTCTGTGGGTCTGTGTGAGTCTATGGGTCTCTGTGTGAGTCGATGGGTCTCTACGAGTCTATTGGTCTCTGTGTGAGTCTGTGGGTCTGTGTGAGTCTATGGGTCTCTGTGTGAGTCGATGGGTCTCTGTGTGATACTATGGGTCTGTGTGAGTATGGGTCTGTGTAAGTCTATGGGTCTCTGTGTGAGTCTATGGGTCTGTGTGAGTCTATGGGTCTCTCTGTGAATCTATGGGTTTCTGTGCGAGTCTGTGGGTCTGTGTGAGTCTATGGGTCTCTGTGTGAGTCGATGGGTCTCTGTGTGAGTCTATGGGTCTGTGTGAGTCTATGGGTCTGTGTGAGTCTATGGGTCTCTGTGAA